GAGAGAGAGAGAGAGAGAGAGAGAGAGAGAGAGAGAGAGAGAAAAAACACCGGGTGAACTAACGAGATCAAATACAAACGATTGTAGTGTTCTGATCATTGATTTATTTTTATAATAAAATGTCATTCTGTCAGTATGTAAACTGACTACTATGGGACGTTTTATTATGTAAGAGTCAATGAGTTTGAGTATTCTTTAACACTTTCACTTAGTCACTCACTCGTCAAAACATTTTTTGTGTGTTTTCCTGCAAAAGTCCAGCAACACGAGTACATTTCCCCTCGTAGTCGTACAGTCTTTTCAAAATAAACTTTCGTCTTCACAGGAAACAGCTTCTTTAGGTTTAGGCAAAAAATTTACATCGTTAGGTTTAGGAAAAGATCGTGAAATACTTTGTTAGGTTTAGGCAACATGAATTACTGAGTTATATTTAGGAATAGATTGCGGTTTGGGTTAAAATAACTACAGAAGTGGTGTTACTGAAGTACAGCAATAACGTGACAAATATGACACCTAATAAATAATGTGATGTGGCCTAAAAATAAAATCTCTCTGTGATTTACAATTTTATTCAATTATTTGTCTTCACAACAAACCAGGCCGACTAAAGACAAATGAACTATAAACCTTTACCAAACGTCACCTTTTTCTACAGAAAAACAACATAATGCTTGAGGTTGCTGAGCCGACTGTCACGTTTTTTGGAAACAAACTCATTTTTATTCTCACGTGCTGCCATATTGATCATGTGCGAGAGTCTGAAGAGAGCTTGCGTCTTTACTATGAACTACGGGATCTCAGAGAAGTGGTGGAAGATCTGTACCGTAATTATTACCGTAATTACCCAAGTTAAAGTGAACGAACTCGAGGCTTCACAACAGCAGTCCACAAACCAATGGGTGACGTCTCGATGACTAACGTCCACTTCTTACGCACTCTCTATGGACCGTATGCAGTTAGTGAACGCACATGCACACTTGTTGCTGGCTTTCGTAGGAAAGTGCACGAAAAATTGAGGAATAACTTTTCACAAGATGTCATACAAACCGTTGTGTGAGGATACGTTGAAAACTTAACAATTAAATACAAATAGAGACATGAAAATGTACAACAGAGTATGGAAAACAAATATCTACCAATAAGTAAAAGGATGTCTGTTTTTAAAGTGTTGAGTTGTGCAGGAATGTGTAATGAGTCCCAGTCAGTGGGGGGTCCCGGGCCTGGTTGATGAGGCCGACTGCAGTCGGGAGAAGCTGCTGTTATTAATACTACACATTAAGGGTTATTAATCATACTCACTTCTGCTGTATTTTGGTGTAGGTATTAATGGCTCTACAGAAAACAACATACAGAAACTCAATGGGAAGCTTCCATCTTGGTCATTCAAACTAAGCTGTGCTTGAAATTACACACACAGCAGTTGCCTGCTGATCTCCTGATGATTGTTTAAACTGCAACAATCTCTGATTACACGCTCTAATTACATCACATTTGGCCCATTAGCCATTTAAATGTTTATTTCTTTTCCTTTCTTGAACCAGCCAAACTTGATTGTCCTCGTCTTCGCATCTGTCTCTCTGTCTCCCAGCTGGACAGAGTCTGCATAAACAGGTGCAAAAGTTCACCTCCCCTCTTCTTCCTCCTTGCTGCGTCCTCTGCTTCTTCAAACCTCGCCTCCTCTCTCGCTCGTTCTTTTACTTTACGCTCTCCCTTCCCTCCCCTCGCTCACCTCTCGCTGGCACAAACAGCACTTGTCCTCCTTTTTCTCTGATTGATTCTCCTTCGATTTCCTTCTGTCTTTCTCCCAGTGGGACACGGAAAAGAAAAGTTCAGTCAAGTGCAGAAGTTCACCTCTCCTCCCCCCTCCTCCCTCCTCCCTCATTCCCAGTGGGACCTCTGTTAGCAAGAGGCTTCTTTATTCCACCTTTCCTCTTTTATTCACACTCCCCATCTTCTGTCATATTTTGATAATTCATATGCAGTAGTATTTACTGTATCTGTCGGCAGAGTGATAGCAGCTAGCCAGAGAATGAACCGAGGTCTTTTATACAATTTTTGGACATTTTTAATCAAGAACATAATGAAAATCATCGTTAGTTGCTGCTCTAATTCATTGTGAATGCTGCGTTTGAAGAGGATCTGCCTTTAATTCCACACAATACTGTAATTCAAGCTAGGTCAGACACATCTCTTTCTCACATCCTCAGCTCATTCATATAATAGAATATCTGTACTATAACTGCAACATGATTTAAGGTATCATTTTTCTGCACCGGTCCTCTCCTTCCTGGCTCCTCTCTCACTTTCGACTCATGTGGTTCTATTTCCCCTCGTTCCTTTCACTTCCTCCTTTGTGTCTTCTCGCCGTCTCTCTTTCTATATCGACTCTTTGTTGTGCATCCAAAGTGCAGCCTGACCTTTCTCAGTGTTGCTCCCCTCGGAGTGAGTGAATGAAATCTGTGTGTGTGTGTGTGTGTGTGTGTGTGCATCTGTTTGTATACTTTGAATTCATGCATTTGCACATGACATTTCTTTATGATGGAAAACGAATGGAAACGGCAACCTCTTTCTAAAGGTGTGTTTGTGGAAGTTAATATGCAATATTAAAGTGATTCCGGGAAAACTATTTCCTGAATATTTTGCTGTGCTATCTCTTGCTCTCACAAAGGCAGAATAGGAAGATTCTGACTGCAAAACTTGGAAAGACAGTTTGTGTCCTTTAAAACGTGCATTCTCTCTACTGTCCATCAGGGGGCGACTCCTCTGGTTGTATAGAAGTCTATGAGAAAATGACTCTACTTCTCTCTTGATTAATTACCTCAGTAAACATTGTAAACATGAGTTTATGGTCTCAATCTCTAGTTTCAAGTCTTCTTCAATACAGCATGATGTTCATTTAGTACATTATGGTCCATTTAGAGTCAAACAGACCATAAAGCAGACCATAAAGCAGGGTATGACTGTAATGTATGCTTCAGGGCGGGGCTACACGGTGATTGACAGGTCTCTACCAGAGCGGTATCCGGTGTCTTTACGTCATCTCCTCCACATATCGTAACTTCTGTTCAACGGTTGCAATAAAGAACAACATGGCCACGGCCGTATTCCAAGATGGTGTTGGCGGAATCGCCGAACTCGAGGCTTCCTAACGGCAGCCGATAAACCAATGGGTGACGTCACCATCGCGACGTCCACTTCTTCTATTCAGTGTACGGGTAAAAAAACAATCTGTTGGTGACCAGAATACAGTTTTCAAGGCGGTTTTATTGGCCCCATGGTGGCGATGTCTTCTAAGACTATCGTTGACCAAGTTGACTTCATGACCAAATACCTAAAAAGCTAATAGACGTCTGGGAGCACCTTCCACCCCCCTACTGTCTCGACCCCTTGATCTTGTCATCTGCCAGCCGTGTGTCCTTCCTGCAGCTCTGAATACAAATGCCCCCTTCCTGCCTTTTGTTAACATTTGTAGTTGCGTTACGTCTGATCACGCTCTTCTCTTGACCTTTGTTCTCTACTTTCTACACACCGACTAATCACTGCGTTGCCTTACTGAATAAAGTGCTTCCATTTCATTTGCTCTGGGTCAACTCACCGGCTCAGATCTGTTCCGTGTCTGTAGGTTCACCAGTGTGCCGGTGTGCTTCATTAAACTCACACCACCACAGCAAACTGCTGAACTGGACTTCAATGCTTTTCTTGGAACATGCTAACTAGCTACGCTCAGATGTGGAACGTGGGGAATATTATGCAGTGGAAATGGCTCATAGTGATCAACCATCAGCACATGATTATTTAAACTTTCTCATGCAGATTACCAATTTACATTTTTTAAATGTAAAACTCAAATGTAGTTGATTGAACCCGGGTCCATTGATGAGCGGCTGCATTTGCTCGTTGACATTTTATCGGGCTACCGTTCACACATTTGCTAATAGTTATTTAAAAGTTTATTTTCCTGCTGTGCATGTATCCCATGAAGACCACCTGAGTTAATAGGTATCCTTTCTGTGTAAATGTAGTGAAGTACATTAAGCACAAAGTTTACCTCCACACACAATTCAATATCATTTTATAAAAAGAGCATTTATTTCAAAGGTTTTTTTTTCGCTTCGGAGATTGAAGCACATAGTAAAGCAACATTACAATGTTCAGAAAATATAAGTGTGATGCTGTAACATTTTTTTAAATCTTATCTTAACATGTTTTTGTTGTAATACTGGAATATTCTGCATGTATACTAAAATAAGAACTTTTAAAATTGTACAAATCGGTACCATAAAACTTGACAGAGAATAAAAACGAGGCGTTCTCTCGCTGCAACACACAGATTGCTAGTTTTCCTCTTGAACAGGGAGAAAGAACGAAGAGACGCCAAATAATGGAAACCAAAAAAAAAAAATGGAAAGAAAAGAGAAACAAAGGAAATGAGAGAGGTTGTATTCACACAGACATAAACCAAAACTGATGTTTAACTTCCGGCTGTGATGTTCTTATAACGTCCAGAGATGAAAATCAAATACTCTGTAGTCCCTCCATGTTCAGACAACCATAAGAACATCACATTTGCATGAAGTTAAACATGAATTAGTTCCTGTGTATCTGCAGCCAAAGAAAGAACAGTTATTGTCATAATAATGCTGATAATAATAATAATAATAATAAAAAAACAACAATAATAATCATAATAATATAATAACATTAAAAAAGAGATCGAACAAGAACCCACACGCTTAAAAAGGATGTTCTGCTTTCAGCCTCTCTGTATATGTGGCTCTGAAAACACACCTTGTGTTGTTTTCCAGCGTGCACGTTGTATGTCCAAACAGCAACACGTGTTGATACAACAGGCGTTGCTGCCGACATAGCCGGTGTCGAGGGGGAAAATAACACAACGCACATTTTCCCGGTCTACATGTACCGTGCCGGCCAGAAACTGCACATCCTGTTTGAAGAGTGCTCGAGGCGCAGGTTGGATCCGCAAAGTGATACATCACACGTCTGCACACCGCTCTGTACATACCTAACATGGAGAATAGTTTGCTTTCTGAATATACTTCTCAAGTTACAAAAAAAAGAAACAAAAGGAGAAAAGAAAAAATGAGAATGCACTGCGTTGCAAGAGTGTCCGTTAAGTTTAAGGCGATTTTTAGAGCTCACAGGTTGTTGTTTTTTCTACTCATCGTGATTGATCATCATTGGTAGACTCTGGATGAGGAAGTGATCATTCATTGGTGGACGCGGTACCGGAAGTGATTGTTGATGGGAGGGATTGGGGAGGGGGGGGAGCTTTTCTTTTCAAATCATTCTCCTCAGTGAAGAATGAAAACACAGAATCATCCACAGTTTTTTTTTCCATTGAATCCATTTTCAGTCTCGTTTTGGGAGCAGTAAAAAAACAGGTATTTGTGTTCCATCGTCACAGATCCTCAGTCCTGTCTGTGCGTAGCTACTGAAGGTAGCGCTCTCTATGCTCACCTTTTGTAATGTTCACCCCTGGAGTTGTTGTTTATTTATTATAAGGCCACCATACTGTGAAGATGCTGTGAGCGTCTTCAAAGTATCAACAACCCAGAGTCTATCACGCTATTTAAACCACAGAACCTGCTGAATTCTGCACACGCGACGACAACATTTGAAAAAGCATTTACTTTCAACTGTTGGACCCCACCGACACATCTTCTGTACCTTGTTATTTCTCTTTCGCAACATCGCGCCGTTGCTGGATCCCACGCTAACCTTTTCTTTTAATTAGCTTGTATCTCCTTATTCGTCTCTTTCAGTGTCTTTTTCACACACCACAAAGAGAGCAGCTCAGGAACCTGTTCGGGGAATAAAATCTCTCCCAGGAGCCACTGAGGAAGTACGTGAATCCAGTCCACAAAAGTACATAGAACCCCAAAGAAACTAAACAGTTAGCTAGAAGCAAGTCATTTTGATCACACAGCAATATTTTGTTCCCAACAATTTACTTTCAAAACTGGTGACAAAACTAATCTCCCAGCCCTGCAAAGCTCGAGTCCGTAGAAAGAGAAAGGGAAAGACATACTGTAGGTGGGAAAGGAGGGATTTTGGGGGAAAAACTGGAAGCCGAGTCCAAGAGTTCGTTATGTGTTCATTACCAAATCGTCTTGGAGGACCAGGGAGAGCTGTTCACGTCCGTCGACTCGCTGGCGTGAACGGATCAGGTGGTAGTTGGTAACATTTGGGTGCTGGGGAGTGTTAACCCTCAGCTAACAAATCCTCATGGAATCAATAAATCAGAAATCCGGGGAGGGGGGGTGGGCGTCCACTCTGTAAGACCACTGTTAAGAGTCTTCACCATCATCGTCATCGTCCATGATGCTGTCTTTGGTCCCGTACAAATCCGCCAGCTTCTTAAACCTCGGCCCCCAGCTCTGCAGATAGTCATAATCCAAGTCAGACTCTGTTGTGACGGACTCGAGGGAGCTCAGTGACCCGGCCAACGATCCTCTGCCTTCATATCCGTAGATCTGAATGGAGTCGTACGGGGGGGCCGTCGGGTCGCTGTCGGCTTCCGCGATCCGACTCTTGATGAAGTCGTCGACGTCGACGCTGTTGGCCGCAGTGTGGCCGGTGCCGGGCCTGATGGAAAACTGGAGCTCTGGTTTCATGTCCTTTCTTGGCAGGAAGCCGTTGGCACCGTCTGGGTTCTGAACAATTAGAGAGAGAGAGAGAGAGAGAGAGAGAGAGAGAGCGAGAGAGAGCACCGGTGAGATAAAACCTGTAAAGACACTTTTCAGAAGTTATTAGAGAATGAGCCAGAGCTGAAGAAGAATTGTGTTGGCGGATGAAGTGCATCGTGTCCAAATATCGGTAAATAACAAAGATATTATTGTCAAATACAGAGTAAACTGAAGAAATACTGGGATGCCACCTTGCCCCTCTTCATACCTGAAGTGTGGCGATGTCGAAGGCCTCCGTGTCCTCCTCACCACCTCCCTCGTCATCGTATGTGATAATGTTCTCCCTGATGTCCTCCTCCTCGAACACTATCAGCGGCTCCTTCTTCTGACGCCTCAGCGCAACAAACAACACCACAATCGCTGCCAGAGAGAAACACACAGACACACAAATCAAAACAATTGCTCCGCAATTACATAACAATCCTCACAAGATCTCTGTGAGAAATGGAGAAAAAGTGAGCATTAGATAATTAGTGTGCACTGTGGGAGATAGTGTAATTAGACCTTGGACAGTTTAATTAATATCATTACTGTATTGTGCTATACACACACATGCCAGTTTAATTGCAGTTTGTTATCAACATGTCGGACTTCTAAAGGGATCCCAGCTGTGGAGTACGATGGTGTGAGAGAACATTACAGTGAGACAAGACAGCGGCTGAGGAAGAAACGTAAGGCTGGAGACACAATTGAAGACTTTCGCTGTTTCTGAAAGCACATTTTCACCAAACGGCAAATATAAAAAAACAAACAGATTTTCACTCAGACCCCGAAGATGGAGTATCTGAGAAGAGTAGAAGTGATGCTGTAGCCGCTGATGAACGAGTGACTCTGGGACCTCTAATCTTATCAGGAGCTGAAACAATGCAGTGCAATGCCAACATGGACGTTAAAAGTAAATATCCAGCATGTTTGGTATAACTTGGACATCGAGTATACAGACTTGGACCCTCTGTACCCCAAAACCTGCAGGCAGGATTGAAAGGCATGTTGTTGTTTTTTAACAATCGCCAAAACTACACCGTTTATCATAGCCAGAATAGTCTGTATCGTCAGATTTTTATTTTTCCGACGGTCCTCCAACACATCATGTGTGACGAACACTTCTGTCAGAAAAAGCAGCCAAAACAAAGCTTAGAATTGTGATATTTCTTCAAAAACATTTTATTCTAAATGTCTCCTTTCAAGTTTTGGGGATCAGAAGCTTAAAAGACTAATTCTGTAAACAAATGAGCAACCCTTAATGGTGTTACCAAACCAACTAAATATCTAAACTGACTAGTTTGAGCTCCTTACCCAGCAGAATGACGATACATGCCAGGATAGCTATCAGCGCCCCGGTGCTCAGACCAGCGTGCAGGACGTAGGGCTCCACGTTGCAGGAGAGGATGGTGTCTCTGCTGTCACAGGAACACACTCTGATGGTCAGCGTGTTGGTGCTGCTCATCGCGGGGAAACCGTTGTCGTTGATCTCGATGGGAAGGTAGTAAACATCCTGGGTGAGGCGGCTGAATCCTTTACGGAGCACATAGATGCTGGCCGTGCTGTCTGTGGAGAGAGATGTTGGTAAACGGACAGGAACATGAGAAGATGAAATGATTTTAAAAGTAAAGAAAACAAATAATCTTTCATCACATCCTCTCTCTGGAAGAGATGAGGTTTCTTCAGAGGCGTTTTAAGGGCTTCATCGCCAAGCAAACGGTCTCTTAACATTTACATTAAAAGTACATTACCAAGCAGTAGAAGTGAAACGTGTAAAAGCGACGTGCACTGAACACGGTACTTGGAGCAATTTAAGGAAAGTAGCTCAGGATGAGCAGCAAATTATCTCAAATGTACACAGAGTTACTTTTGGACAAACTTTGCAGAATCACAAACTCTCTGGTATTGCTATACTTGTGAGCACCCCCACGGGCTGCATTTCTTTCTTTCCCTCAAACCTTAACCTTTACTGAAGCCTCGTCCTTAAGCATAAAACGCTGTTATCACTTCTACATCTATAACTTCAGCACATTCAGCAGCAGCAGAACGCTCTTGCTTCCTATTTACCAAAAGATGTTTTGGGTGATTCTACTGAAATCTCACTTTTCATCTCTTTTCATTTCCTCCAATTCTTAGTGTAGTGAGGGGACACACACACACACACACACACACACACACACACACACACACACACAGGCCTGGAACCACTGAATGGTTTTCTATTGAGGGCTATCATGATCGTACCTCCCGACCGCACTACTCCAATATATTCTGTCAGCCTGACTCTCTGTAGGGTTTATTGTAGAATAGCAGCAATAATGATCTTTATTAATAGAGAAATGCTTTAACAATACAAAGACATAGACATCACTGTCTTTCACTGTTTAAATAAAGCTCAGGTAAAAGGAAAGAAGGATACAACACACAGCAGTTGCACTGAGGAATTAAGACCTTTGTGATTTTAACATTTACATTATAAGCACAACAAAACTACAGCTCCCACAGAAAAAAACACAACAAAAAACTACAAGTGTGGCACGGGTACTTGCGTCATTATAATTTGGTTTTGTCCATATCTGAAAAACTCATTTTTTAAAGTCATTTTTTTAACTTTTTATTCGTTATGTCTGCTGTCTAAACACTTGTACAGCGTTCGCTTGTCTGCTTTTATTACAAACAGACGAGACACAGTTCTATCGAGCCATGGCATTGAACCCGCGAACATCTGTAGCTCATGGGAAATAGTGTTTGTTAAAAGCCGCTCGTAACAAATATCTAACAGACAACTTTTTCTCATATTTTCTGAAAGAAATATCCTTCACTAGACGTAAGAAGTGAGCCACGTGTTGAAGCTCTGTTCCAAGGCGGGGTCTGTCTAATGCTTGGTTTTGTATGCTCAATACGTCCCGTCTCTAAAAATCCTCCCTGTTCATCATATGAATCTCACTTTTCTACATTTACGTGCTTCTCTTCAGCCTCTCACAATCTTCTTCTTCTCCATCTATAGTCTTATTCTCTCTGTCTCTCACTTTCTTTCTTTTGGTCTCTCTCTCCCAGCACTGACAAAACTTAATTCAATCAGTTGGCCCCCTAAGATATTTGTACAGACGGAAAGAGACCCCACTGCAATTAATACAGCCCGCACAACATGTGTGCATTCGCTCGCTCGTGTGCGTGTGTGTGAGAGAGATTCAGGGCACCTGCTGCTCGCTACAAGGTAGCGTTAGCCTCCATCTGGTTATGCTTTGATCTAATCTGAGTGAAAGAGGGAGGGAGGTAGACGGCAGATGAAGGAACTGTAAGATCCGCAACTAGAAAAGGGTCAGAAACGCATGGCAAAGGTGGCCTACCTCTGTTGTCTTTGAGGGAGAAGTTGTGGTTGTGTGTGACTTCTGGAGCGAGGCTGAACGTGAAGTGTTGTCTGTGGGCCAACTCGTCCTTGTCCACCGCACTTACTGTTTCAATGTCCTGACACCCACACAGACACGAGTTAGAAGAGAACACACATCCATGTAGAATAGTGGTTGTGGGTAAATCATGTGTTTACCATCATCTCACACACACACACAGACGTACGTACCTTCCCTGGCGCGACAGTTTCACACATGAGGACTTCGTTGTTGTTGCCAAATTCTGGGGCGTTGTCATTCATATCTTTCACTTTGATGTTAACACGCACTTTGGTGTCTTGGTGGTGGCCTCCTGCACACACACACACACACACACACACACACACACACACACACACACACACACACACATAGTTTAAGGCAAAGTCATCAGTATTCTGCTGCATTCAAAAATTCAAAGCAGTGTCAAAGTCATTAAAACCAGACTTGTGTGTGTGTGAGTGAGGAATTGCTTGAGTGTCGGCACTGTAATCCATGTGTGGCGTTGCCCGAGCACAAAGCTAACGATGGATATTTTCCAGCACAGATTGCCTGTCAATCAGTCAGCCACTCAGCTGGCCATTTGTTGTTTTTGTTTTGCGAGACATCAAAACCATGCAGTCGGACAGCGTGCCACTCAGTGAGCCTGCGCCCACACTGCTTCTTTACTGAAACCATGTTGATATGATCAACTTATAAATGTCAAGTTGTGCCTGTTGAAGATTAAATTGATGAACAAAGTGTGTTGCAGACAGAATGTCGAAACAAATATACAGAGTTAGACTCCCGATTCATCCAGATTATTAGCTAAGAAAGAATATATTTTTCTATCTATATTCATCTTTAAAACAGAAAGAAACAACCATTTGTTTCTACACTGTACTGCTTCGCATATTTGTAATTCTAGTCGGTATGATTTTTCCCTCTACCCTGTCATTACCAGGCATTTATTTAGCTTTCCAGGGCCTGTTAGCGGTTTGCAAGGGTCCTAGTTTTGTGGGCGGCGAGCCCGTTTCCATCTGGCCGTCTGGCGTCTAGCACGCCACAGGGAAACCACGCGGCGCTCTGCTAGTTTGAGCCCAGACCACAGAATACCAGGGTGGGGCCACTGCGGCTCGCTGGCTGGAGAGGGTTTTTCTTTGTGGGGTCGAAAGCCGAGGAGAGAAAAGCGCCGGAGGGTTAGGGTTGTGAGTCGACTGGCATTTCCCTCTTTTCGCCCCTCACTCTCTCTGTATAGTCCGGGGTTCTGTGGTGGCGACGGATACCTAAAGCTTTCAGGGGCGCCTTAACTTTAGTTTTTCACTTCTCCTTCACTGCTTCACGGTTTAGATAATCATTTTTGTGAGCATCAACAGCTGTAACTGTATGTCTTCAGGTTTTCTTTTATGTATCCAAATCACAGAACTAAGTCAGAAGAAGTTTAAAATCCAAATCACTCGCCACATGTGGGACAATCTCTTTAGAGCCAACCGAACACAGTCGATCCGTGTTGGTTCCTCTTTCTGACTCTGACGTTAGCTGCGTGAAAACAACACGAGATGCCATGCAGACAAACTGCACCCAATGCAACAGTTACATACTGCCGGGACACTACCTGGGGTAAATAATACCACCGAGCATCTGCATAGAGCTAATCCCTCCTGGTTGAATCTGAATATATAATTCGTTTCCCAAGGTTTTAAGCAGTTCTTCACTGACATTCACGGTGAAAAAGAAATAAAAAAGCAAACTTTAGTCCCAGCCAGAGGGGGAAAAAAAAATAAATTAGAGGCAGCAGCTTGAATCCACTTAAATGTTGTGCATTAGATGTCATGCAGTCTCCCCAGCACCCACAGAACGACATGTTGGGCTGTGGATGCCAGCAAATGTACAGCCTTGTGACTGTCTGGGATCTTTATTTTGTCTCCCCATCTTATACCAGTTTATATATATATATATATATATATATATATATATAAACTGTTACTACATCTCAGTAGTTCAAATCAGCCAGTCACTAACTGTTCTTCTGAAATGACTGAACACATCAGTAGATTAGCACCGACAGTCCCGCAGCCGTCGTGTCACTTCACATTCAAACATAACGGGAAACAGACAGAGCGGCTGCACACTTCAGGACGTTTGTAGACGTGCACACACACGTACCTATCTCTGTGGCTGACACAGAGATATTATGCCAGGCCTGTGCTTCTCTGTCCAGTGGCCTCGTCGTCGTGATCTTGCCGTCTTCCGAGTTCACGCTGAAGAACTGCTCTATGTCCGTGTACAGAGGGATCATGTACCTGTACGCGGAGTTAACACACAGACACAACAGTGCTGTTACACATGAGGAGGAAGAGACGTATGAAAGCTTGCATTTTAAGACACGGATACACTAGATTTATTCGTGATATTCATAAAAAACAGCTGTAAGATGCAGCAATCCTCTAAGTCTTGCAGAGGGGAACGTTGAGCTTTCAGTCGGATTATTGTGGAGATAATTCAGTTACAAAAACAAACAACTTTGCAAGCATCTGTTTCTATAGGTAATGTAAAATTACTGTATTTAGGAAATAAAAAAAAGTGAGGCATGCATATTGTTTTATAGCTACTAACGCAGTGTTTTCAGTTGATTTGTTATAAAGTGGGACTGGCTCTGCTTTTGTAATCCTATTTTGCATCCCTATTCTGTTGAAAACTCTTTATATGTAATCCTGTGTTTTCTGCATAAAAATACAAGTTCCTCTGAGTCATATTGTTTGTTCAGTGTAGCTGAAAATATTGTATTTCAAAGGTTTCTTTTTTTTTTTGGCGATGTTCCAATTCAAACTGGTTTGAAAATTGAAATTGCTGCGAGCATGACTTGGTGAATGTGTGTGTGTGTACACACACGGCGCGTGTTTCCTTGTTACCTGACGGGATTGTTGGCAACATCAGTGTCCTTGGCGTGGACTCGTCCCACCAGGGTGCCTTCAGGCGCATTCTCCTCCACCTCAAAGGTGTAAATGGGAGCTACAAACACAGGAGGCTCATCTGCATCCTCCACCGATATCTGCAGACACGCAAACACACAGTTAAAAGGCTCCACAAACACACACACACACACACACGCATACACACAATCAAATGCATGCACTTTTTTGTTTACATGCCTACCTTTATTGTGGCTTCGTCCTTATAAGGCCCCCAAGCGAGGTATTGGGGGTCAAGATGCTGGTTGGATCCCTCCACCTTCAAGGTGTACGACCTTTTGGTCTCAAAGTCCACGTGCTGAGAGAGGAAGAGAGAGAGAGAGAGACAGGTCACTTCATTCCTCTTTTACCCAATATCAACTGTAAACACATTCAAATAGTGTATCATCTTCATGCAGTGTGATGACGTCTGATTCAGCACTGATCCAGACAACAGGCATTTTAAAAGGTGTTTGCTCGTTCTCTTGCAGACAGACATGACGGAGCAAGGAGTCTGACTTTTTACAAAATACTTTGATCCGTTGATTGCATTCTCAGACACTGGCTCTGTGATATTCAGTGAGTGGCCGGTGCAGTATCTCTGTCCTCTGGTAGGGGGAGCTGTTGCTGCATGAATGCAAACTGTCATTTTATCACATTATCACAGTAGCAGACTCCAGTGTGACCACTGCTGTTACAGACCAACGAAACCAGGAGGAACCTGAACGCAGTGGTTTGATATGATTTAATACGATAGGAGCAGTTTGGGACCAAATTAAAATATGTGGTTGTTTCTGTTAATGAAACAATACAGGTCTGTTTTTAATGAGCTTTGGGAGTCTGTGAAATCACATGATAAAGGGGAGGAGTAAGGGTTTGGGGTGAGAGATGAAATTCAAGTCCAAGGCCACAAGAACTTCAGTTAATTGGCGTTTTTTAAATAGTTTTTCATTTATTACACCCTTTATAATCAAGACAGGTCAATTAATAATACGTTATTATTTAGAAATCCCTGGCATGGGTTTTTCAATATCACAGGTAGGCCAACGTCAGACCCTCTGATTGAATTCACTCATATTGAACTGAGCGCCAATTCACTTACTCTATGCTGGGAGAAAACCCATTGACTTATAATGGCTTTGATATTAAATTGACTGGAGTGTGTGCTTTGAGGTATGCAGCTCGATTGCCCGAAAAAAAACCCTCCATTGTGCATTTTCCTCACGTCACCTTATCACGGCCGTTGCGTCGATGAATCCAACTCTTTTCTCCTCACTTCTATTCTCATGCGCTGAGTACTTGCGGGGAAAAGTCAACTAATGTGTTGGCAGTCATTGTATGCAAGCTATAATACCAGAGGGAGGCTCTCCGCCATGATTATGGGGACTTGTGCATTGCCAGCAGCACTTGGCTGCGACTTGCACTCATCCGCTGCTCCGTCGTAGCCGTAATCACACACTCTTATGGGTGTCATTGCTGTATTATGAACCCAGATAATAACTACTTTGGTCCCCACCACTATTTCTTTTATATATTTTTTTCCCAGCCAGTATGACTGAACTGGCGAAGTCCCAGGAGCAAGCTTGATCTTTTCATCTCCTGGCTACCATCACTTAATGAACCCCCAGTGGGAGGAGAGCCCTGTGTGAAGTGTTGTGAAAGCAGAGTGAAGCTGCTGTAGATTTATGAGTTCAGCACAGGCGGCAACCTCCACTTCTGAAGAGTGAAGCCAGCGATCAAGGGTCTTAAACTTTCATTTTGTTCTACTGGCCAGCAGGGGGCGACTCCTCTGGTTGTATAGAAGTCTATGAGAAAATGACTCTACTTCTCTCTTGATTTATTACCTCAGTAAACATTGTAAACATGAGTTTATGGTCTCAATCTCTAGTTTCAAGTCTTCTTCAATACAGCATGATGTTCATTTAGTACATTATGGTCCATTTAGAGTCAAACAGACCATAAAGCAGGGGATGCTTTAGGGCGGGGCTACACAGTGTCTCTACGTTACTCCTCCTCAGTCCAAATATGGTCACTTCCTGTTCACCGGTTGCAAAAAGTCAAGATGGCGACGGCCAAAACGACACGTTTTACCGTTCATAACGTAAGTCCACAAACCAATGTGGGACGTTACGACAACTACGTCCACTTCTTATGTACAGTCTATAGTTTAACACACACACACACACACACACACACACACTGGGGGTTTGCAGTGATTAGGATGGTCACCAAGACTACAATAACAAATATTATGGATGGAAGCTTCTGCATTAAAGAATGTCTCATCTTGTACTGTACGTATATTGAAGCTACCCTGCTCGTAAGTGACACAAGAAGAGAAGGGGTTAACGCCAATAATACTCCCATCATATCAAACATGGTGGCCATGTCCTCATCATCAGCAGGTAACGCCTCTGAAAACAGCTCCCAGCAGCTCTTCACTCTGATCAGATTCAGAACATTTTCATGTGACGCGGCTGCCAAGTGAGTCGGCGCTGCAGGGACATTTCTCCTCTGGTTGTCTCACGCTCATTCAGTCGCAGTGGCATCTGACTCCGTGGCGTCGGTGTTTAGCGTGTTGATGACAGGTACAATGCTAGTCGGATAGATTTGACCCAGTTCTTTCATTTTCCTTTTCTTTTCCCGTCACACTCCCTCTGTATCATCTGCCCTCTCTTTCTCTCTGTCTCTCTCTCTTTCCCTCCCTCCATCTCCCAGTCTATAGAGCCACTCTCTCTTCATGTTCTCCCTCTTTTTGTAATCAGTGTGAGATAATAATATTCACAATAATGCCCCCCCCCCTCTACTCCCTCTCACGAACACACACACATACACACTCGGCTCCTTAATATTCTGTGGACTGCTTTCGTCAGGACACAGTTGAAAGAGAATAGCTGATTAAAGCTCATCCCTGTGTGTGTGTGTGTGTGTGTGTGTGTGTCTGTGATAGAGATTAGTAAAGGCTACTCCCAATGCTGATTTTGAAAGTGTGTGAGCATGCCTTTAATTCTGCATTGTACCTTGAGGGGGCCAAAGGTGTTAATTTCCCCCGAGAAACATCATGACTCAATAAACACACACACACACACACACACACACAAAAACACACTTCAAATCAACGTCAGCCTATTAGGCATTTGTTCCAGGAGACACGGGGATCCGTGTCGAGGGATTGTTGTGCTATGTCTCCTGCCGTCAGTCGTGTAGACAAACATGTTTCATCAACCGTGGTCGAACTAAGCTCTTGCTGGTTTGGACGTGTTGGGGAAGTGCCGGATACTTTGGACAACCACACGCCATCCTGTCTGGGTTCATGACATCATCCGGATGCACTCTGAATTCAACCCAGCTGTATTCTGTTGCATTTAGCAAGCCACACGTCGTCTGGTTTACTACCGCGGTGTGAACCCAAAATAGACAGATTTAGTGCATAAAAACTAGATCACGATGCCGATTCCAAATAAGTCTGAGTTCATGCTTTTGCTTTCTGAACGGAGTTGGGATGGATCAGTGCTAGGCTATGCTAACGCCGTATAGCTGCTCCATCATCAATCAAAATAACGTCACCTAGGCAGCAACGTTTATTGTGCAATCCAGAGACAGACTGGTTTACACACACACATGTAGACACATAGTTCTGTCCGGTTTCTGGTGTTTTCGTAAAGCTACCAAAAAAACACAAATCACGCAAATTCCGAAATGAATGACTCAGATTACTGTCACTGCTTTCCAGACAGCTTAAAGTGGAGCTGTTTGTGTGTGTGTGTGTGTGTGTGTGTGTGTGTGTGTGTGTGTGTGTGT